TTACACATACCAGCAATTAAACATTTCATAATGTTTGGCATATTATAGGGGCAATCAAGCATATGGAACATTTAAGACGTAGTCAAACCCGTAATAATTAACGATGTGGTTTCTGCTATTTACCGGTTGACTAAAACCAAGTGAAGGTTATCAACATACATATAGATAATTGAACTGGTTACGAATGTATTTAGTTAAGTATACACTTAATGCGCGCACACACACACACTCACACTCACATAGACACAAAGTCAGAGAGATTTGTCATAAGGGAAACGGCATCAGGTCAATTAGTTGCTGTTAAATGCACTCAACACGGTCATCAAATCAATTTGAATTTGTGGCTTAAGTTAAATATTGTTAGGGCGTGAGTGTGTGTGTATCTGTGTGCGCGTATGCGTATGTGTATGCGTATGTGTGTGCTTTAGGTGTGTCTTATAGCTACTAAAGTTATTAAAGTTTCAAATATTTCAAATATATTTAATAAATATTAAATATTAAATTCTTTTTTGATAAAAAGAAAGAAAAAATAAAAAATTAGATATATTTAGTTATGAATATCTAAAGTTAAAAACTAGTAAGAATTCTCTACATGGGAGTGCACTTCTGTTCGATAAACTACAGAATGGAATAGCAGTTTTATGCTATTATAATCATACGACTTTTCAAATCTACCTTCCTTTTATTATTTTCGCTCATTTTTCAAATGTCGCAGATGGTTTCTTGAACCCAAAAAAAAAATTATGAAACAAACTTTTTTTTATTAAAAAAATGGTTACATTTATTTGTTTATTTATTTTTATTTTTTGCTAAATACATTTTAAAAGCGTATGTAGACCTTGCATACAAATTTTGTTAGTAACTATAAATATTTATAATATTATTCATATATATTTTTTATTTTTATTATAGCATAAATATTTCTAAACTTTGAAACAACTAAAATAAAATCATTTGATCTACAGTGATTAAAATTTACAAAAAAAAAAAAAAAAATTTTTTTAATATAAACACAAAAACAAATTAAATCATTTTTTCCGTAGCGTGATAATAAAATGTGAATAGTTTTGGCCCAGGATTTTGACGACTGAGCTGCTGAAAATTCAAATTTTAATTTTAACATTAACAAAACATGTAACAATTGAAGCATTAAAATCGTATAAATTATTTATGCGCTAATTATTCAATATGCAAGAGGATTTATTTTTACTGCATATGTATAAATTTATAACTAATTAAGAATATTATTGGGGGAAAATCTATTTTGCTGTTGGCATTGATTTCGGGCAGTGACCCTTAATTGAATTGGAACTAAAAGCGGCTGTCAAATAATATGCAAAATGAGGTCGAAAATATAGATGTGGATGTGGAAATGGAGTAAAACGGTTGAAGGCAGTGCGAAGCATTTAACGTGGCGCTTGAGCTTAATTTGGTCAACCAACATGCTAACCACCCCAAGCCACCATCTGCCACCCCCAACCACACACACACACACGCAGACACAGCTGGCAATTAGTGTTGTGGGTGCGGTTTCAGTTTCAGTTTCAGCTCCACTGCTCTTATCTTTCCGCTCACAATTGTTGCTGTTGTTGTTGTTGTTGTTGACACAGCTTTTCGCTTATTGTTGTTGATAGCATCGACGGCTGGCGGAGAGAGTATGTGTGAGAGAGAGAGGATATCAGCGTACACCCATGCGACCCATGTGGACACACAAATCGTGCCAGTCATAACGCTAACCGCTCAATAAATTTGTTTGCTTGCCAAAAGTATGTTACGAAAATAGCCGGGCGCCCATTTGCCCCAGTAACGAATGGACCAGGGTCAAGCTAGAGCCCCAAGCTCGTAAGAAATGTTTTAACAGCCAGCCGGAGCAGTCGACCAGCCAAATTAATAGACTGCCATAAACTGAGCATAAAGCTTCATAATAAACTTACCGACTTGCCGAGCGCTTTGCAGCCATAAAATAAGTCGCCATAAGTATGACATACTAACTAGCTATATATGTATATATATATATATATATATATATATATATATTCTTATATGTGGACAACTTTTCAATTTATGATGCTAGTTTTATGTCCTCCATGTTCAGTTTACATGCGCAAAAGCCAAAAATTTGATTTAAATCGAAAAGGCAAGCAGCGGTATTTTATGAAATTTTTATTTTTGGCTGAAAGTTTTTTTTTTTTTTTTTGCTGACTGTGTTTATGTGCTTTAAGGGCATTCAGCTTAAGGGCATTAAGAATAATTCAGGCATTTTTTAGGTTCTATTCTTAGGTGTTTGCACTCAAAGCAAAGACAGTCGGGCACCATTTTTGTCTTCTCCTTTTCACTGCTATAATCTACAATTTTTTTTTTTATGTTGGAAATATTATACTAAAAAGTAAAAATTTTAAATGTTTTTTCGCTTTAACAACACAAGCATTGGGGGCGCTGCAAATACTGTTACTGTCACTGTTAACCTGCTTTATTTTGATTTGCACAAAAATAAAATTTCTATACCGATTGGGAACGTGGTAAATCAGGAAATAGATCTGGAAACCTTTAAGTCGTGAATGAATATTCTGCAGTCGGTAACGCCCGACTGTTGTGCGCTCTTGTATCTATTATTTCTATAACTAAAAGTAAAGCTTACCTGCAATACTTTGTAATTAAAACATGCTAAGTTCATACGAGTAGAAATTAATTATTAATTAATTGCATTTCTGAGAAGTTTTAAAATGTGAACTTTTGTGTCTTCTCCGTGGCCACTTAATCGCTGTAAAATATTTTCTCAAATATTTGTGTATATTTATGGTAAAGATGACTGTGTAAAATCGTCAGATGTTTTCGTATATGATTTTTTTTTTTTTTATTTCGTTTTTGTTTATTTTATTTTTAGATGCTCGATATGCGCTTTGCTGCGCAGTCGCTAGAAGAACAAGCACACATAATATTGTTCAGTTGTAGATATGTAGGGAAAAATCCGCAATGAAATATATTAGCTTTACTTGTCTTTAATGTATTCACGTGCACAGCATTTAGGGTAATCGGCATTGGGATACTTCACATTGCCCAACTGAAAACCTGGAGGAGGGGCCTCAACGCCGCAGCTATAAAACGTATTAGTCATTATTATTATTTTTATTATTTCTGTTAAGCTAATCTAAGACATTTTTTGACTTACGTGTGAATTTCGGCCCAGCTCTCGCTGCCACACATAATCCGAGCACAGCCCATTTCCGTATATTTGGCTTGTTCGCCCGAGCTCAAGATGAGATTTTCCGACACATAGCACTTGCCGGGATACTTCTCATTCGCGAAGCTGCCACGTAACACAGCGGCCTCTGTGGGCGGTGCCAGCAACAGCGTCGCTGTCAGCAGCAGCGTCAACAGAATTCCGCTCACGAATTGATTCATCTTGCCGTTTCGCATTCACAAATCGAACTGATTCAGCTGGTAGAATCGAGATGAATCGAGACGAATGGCAGCCGGCATCGCCTCACTCACAGCGTGAGGGTCAAACAGGTTTCAGATGGCGTCACTTTACCATAGTGGGTGCGATTAAATAATAAAGTGGGAAAATACTAATTAGTTGTTTATGCTTGACGTATGTGAAATAAATAATGCAGTGAGAAATGTAAATCTAAATTTAAGTGAATAATTTACCATATATTTATGTAAAAGAATATAAGCTTTATTAGAAACTAAAGGAAATCTAAGTAAAAAGTTTAAAAACAAATCCAACTGTAGTTTTTTTTTTTCTTTTTAATGTCTTTAAAATCTTTTACTTATAAAATATGGTAGTATTTACTTATCAATATTGGCTGTATATTGTTTTAATTTAAGTATATATATTTTTTATAAACAGATAAGTTTTTATTTATTATTATTATTTTTATATATATTTTATATTTTAATTTTCATTCTTTTTATCAAGAAATATTTATTACAATCGTAAATAAACATTAAAAAATTCAGTAAATATTTTTAAAAATATTTTTATGATATTTTTCTATCCTTTTCTTTTGGTTTTTCTAAAATTAAACTCGTGTGTATTGTATAATAAACTCTTGGTTGGCTTTTCTCTTCAATATTTCACAATTATTTATTATATTAATATTTTTTACTTATTTTATAATTTTTTTATTCCACTATGTTTAATTTTTAAACACTGTGTTTAATTGATTTCCAAGAATTTGGAATTTCTTTATCTCTGTGTTTGACATAAATATTATTACGAAACGCATTGCTGCTAAACTCATGCTCTAAACTGTTTTAAACTTTAATTGCTTGAGGTTATCACTTTTTAAATTTAGCCTGCAACTAATCGTTAAATGCAAACAAAAGACCGGAACAGATTGATAAGCGAATATGTTCAATCACACACCATGTTACGCTTGCAACACTCGGGGTAGGCCGCCTCCCAGTTCTTGAAGCTTGTATAGCGACAGTTGAGATCTGGACGCACAAAATCGCAGCTGGAATTGGACAGTTAAAATATATATTTATATAATATATATTTGATTTATTTTTAGTACATACGTTTCTAGCATGCCCCAGCCGTCTCCAATGCAATAGATCTGTGTGCAGGGCAGCGAATCCAGCTTAACAGACTCCCCAAACTTTAGCAGCACTACGGAAGTGCCCATATCCACAACACAACGATCGGGGTACACTATAAGAGATGTAAAGAAGAATATGGAAATAGATGAGAATCATATGGTATAGAATATACAACAAGAGTTTTTCGAGGGGGAGGGGAAACTGTTTAATAGAATAACATACAATGGGACTTAAAGAGAGCCGATATGAATAGAAGACAGTTTTATTTAACCTATCAAACGAGTTTGATGTGAATAAACTAGTCAAAGTGCTTACCGCTATTTCCATAGTTGTTTAGTACATTCAAGGCCAATGTCTGAGCTATGCACTGGACAAAGACAAGAATGAGTACGGCCTTCATAAAACACATTTTGTTTACTGAATATGTAGATGAAACTATATAGAATGTATATTGTGATACAACTAAAATTTACTGCACAGTTTGCTTAAATGTCGTTTGTGAAAATTTCAATTACAAATGATTTTTCGTTCACAGCAATGCGGATAGGGTTGTTCGATGTTGATATAGTCTCCGAATCGACATTCGGGTGGTAATTCAAAGATGCCACAGCTGCATAAGTATAGTTGTTTTACTGTAGATCAGTTAGCAAATCGAGTCTGTAGCCATACCTTTGGAATGTTGTCAAGCCATTCAAACCACAGGTAATCCGACGGCATTTCCCACTGGGATCCTTGATACTATCACCCTCTTCCATTATTAGAGACGGTTCAATGGCGCACTTGCCTGGATATTCTGCAGTTAATGTGGGTATTACTAACAGATATGCATATGCATGTCTATATATACACACTCTCATCCCGGTATATGCCCATCCATTCGGCAGCCTCAACTCTGAGTGTGAAACATGCGACAAATAGGAAGAAAATTATTGTTGGATATTTCATTTTATTTTTAATCTTGGATTTATTAAATTTATTATTATTTTTTATTAATTTTTTTACAATTTTTGCAATCGATAAAGTAATATATATTAATTTTGACAAGAAATTGTTTGGAGAATATAAAATACACAGATAATTCACCCATTTAAAAGTGTCAGTCGTTTGATAATCAACTAACTGCACTCTAGATTTGGTTAATGGGAGTTCTGTTAGATTCGTTAAGATGCGATAAAACAGCGATTCGGATGATAAAGCTATATTTAGAAACGAATTAAAGTCAGAGTCAGTTTTGTCTTAAGCGTTTCTTAGCTTGTATAGCTTATATATATTATACTTGAATCTCTGTTCGGTTATTCCCCATATGT